AGATGCTAATACAGTAGTCCCCGCTTATCTGCCATTTAGCCTTCCATGGTTACAGTTACCCACGGTCTGAAAATATTAAATGGAACATTCCAGAAATAAACAATTTATAAGTTTGAAATTGCGTGCCATTGTGTGATGTTGTGAGCCATCCACTACGTCCCACTGGGAATACGAGTCACCCCTTTTTCCAGCCTATCCACACTGCATACATTCCCCACCTGTTAATCACTTAGTAGCCATATCTGTTATCAGAGAGAGAGAGACCACATTCACATAACTTTTATTATAGTATATTGCTACAACTTCTATTTTGTTATTAGTTATTGTTATTAATCTCTTACTGTGCCAAATTTATAAAGTAAACTTTATCATGGGTATGTATGTATAGAAAAAAACAAAGTATATATAGGGTTCAGTACTATCTGCAGTTTCAGGCATCCACTGGGGGTCCTGGAACGTATTCCCCAGGGATAAGGGGCGACAACTGCAGCAATGTACAAAAAACAAGAAGGGGTTAAACCATGTATATCTCTATTTAAACTTCTTTAACATACACACACACACACACACACGTTTATATATATATATATTAACATATATGTAATAGCATGTGTGTGGATATATATATATATATATATATATATATATATATATATGTGTATGTTTTCTTAAGAACAATGCCTTATATGTAGTGAGAGCTCCAGAATTACCTGTTGGCCGACCTTAGTCTACATCTGTAACACGGCTTCCTTCCTGTCACTATGGATGAACTGTCCATGCTCTATCCAGAGGCCGGCCCTCTTCATTGGGTACTGGATCCCACTCTTCGACACCACACCTCCCTTCTCTCCTCTACATTGTCAATTTCCCCTGCTTTCCTAGATCATTGTCATCAGCTTACAAACTTGCTCTAAAATCTCCCATCTTAAAATAAAACAAGTCTACGACTTCATACTGCCTTCCTGTGACCATGCAATACTCATCTTAACAGCATCATTTCTCAAAAAGAAGTTGTCTATTTTTCTGTCTCTGCTTCCTCTCCTTTCATTTTCTCTTAGATCGACTTTAATCAGGTTATCATCCCCAATGCTCTGTGGAAAATAATCTTTTCAAGTCATCAATGACCTTCACTGGGTTCCTCTGACATGCTTTATCAACAGTAGTTCTCTCTCTCCTCTTTCTACAATGCCTTGACTCGTCCTCTGAAATACTCCTCTCGCTGGTTGTTCCACTGCGTTCTTGTGGGCTGAGCTACCCTCATTTAGCTGAATTCCAAAGCCTGACCCACCTCAGGGTTCAGTCGTTTGACCTGTCTTTCTATCCATACACACCTCCCCAGGTGGTCTCACCCAAACACATGACTTTAAACACCATTTATCCACAAATAACTGCCAAATTTATATCTCTAGCCACAAGCTCTCTGATGATCTCCAACCACCTACTCAATATCTCCACCTAGATACAGGTAGTTGATTAGTAAGGAGTACAAATATGATACATGTCCTGAAAGAATGAACAAATAAATGACTTCATAATTTTGAGTGTGATATCATAGTAGTGTTGCAATGATAATGAAGTGGGAAAGAATAGGGCTTAAGAAGGAAAGAGAAATAGCTCTGCACTAAAACATCCTGAAGTAAAGGTGCTGATGAAATACTGTACAGTTAGCAATAAGAACTGGAAAAAAGTGATAGATTGGGGATAATGATGTAGATTTGAGTTAAGCCAGTTCCATCCTAAAACACAAATAAAATAACCTTCCTTTGACCTTATATATTCCTTTTTTTTTCTCTCTCTCTTCTAACCAAAGCATGTTGATGTGATTTTGCATTTCCCTAATGACCAAGATGTCAAACATCATGTCAAATACTCTAAAAGCCAACTGCATATCTTCTTTTGTAAAGTGCTTGTTTAATTCTTCTGTCTTTTCAAAAAATTAGATTAGGTAGTCTTCTTACTGAGTTATAAGAATTCTTTATATATTCTGGATACAAGTCCTTTGTTGGATATATCTGTGCCAAGTATTTTCCTCCAATGTGTGGCTTGTCTTTCCATTTCCTCAATGTCTTCCCATGAGCAGAGTTTTTAATTTTGATAAAGTCCAGTTGAGCAACTTTTTCTCCTATGGTTCATGCTTTTTGTGTCTGAAGAAATCTTTACCTAATCCAAGGTCATAAAGATTTTCTCCTAGAAATTTTTCTTATAAAATTACATGACTTTAGCCCTTACAATTAGGTCTATGACCCAATTTGAATTAATTTTTGTGTTTGATGTGAGGAAAGGGATACCCAGTTATTTCAGCACCATTCATTAAAAAAAACTATTCATTTTCCATATAACCTTGGTACCTTTGCCAAAAACCAGTTGACCCTTAGGATTGGGTCCATTTCTGAACTCTCAATGTTTGATCTATATATATTTTACGTATTATATAGTACATCTTGATTATTGTAGCTCTATAGTAAAGTGATAGATGAAGTAATACAAATTTTGGTTGTTTTTTTTAAGAACGTTGTTCTTCCTTTTTAAAATCATTTTTCTATCCCAGGTCCTTTGTCTTTCCATTTAGATATTAGAATGAGCTTGTTAATTTCTTAAATACACTTTTTTAAGCCTTCTGGGAGTTTGATTAGGACAACATTAAATCTACAGAAAAAAGTGGGAATAATTCCATCTTAAATTATACTTCAGATCCATAGCCATGGTATATCCCTTTATTTATTTTGGTACTGCTTTTGTTAAATTTATTCATGTTATTTGTTTTTTTATGCTCCTGTTTTACAAATTTCATTTTGATTGTCTATTGCTAGTACACAACAATTCAGTTGATTTTGTGTTGCTGATTTTGTATCCCATAACCCCACTAAATTCACATATTAGAATTCACTTACTAGAATATATTATTGGGTCGTCGAGAAAGTCATGACGTATTTTTCTATGTTTCAACGCAAAAATGCATCATGACTTTCCCAATAACCCAATAGAATCATATTCCTTAG